GGAAGCACCAACAAAAGAAAATCCAAGGAGAAAAGAGTTGTTCTTGAGGTAAGAACACAATTATTATTCATTAACTAGTTTTGTGTTGTATGATTTTTAAGAAATCATATGGTGGGTTAAACATGGAGTTCTACACATTTAAGAGTGTAAAATATTGTTATAAAGTGGTGGTATTTAACTTAGAAGAGTCGTGAAATCGATAGGGGTTGAAATCGCCAGAAACCGCCACTTAAAGGAAGTTGTTCGTAGCTGCAGACCACGAAAGCCGCCCAACGTTTGCAAAAGCCGGTCGGCTTTCGTCTGCTGTCCAGGATTTCCATCTCCAATCGTCTTAGAACGGGGATTGATTGAAGGGCTTAACAAAGGAAACTATTGCAGCACTTCATAAGGGGAGGATGGCTGACTATATTGCTTATAATTAGTGAGTTAATTTCATGAGATTACCTAAGGTAATTAAATGTGTTTTATGGATTATTAATGATTAATAATGCCTAAAAATGAAAGACAATTGTCTATTAAGAAAGGAGCATGATATACAAATTTAAGGATAAATTGTGTATGATTATGTGTCATGAGTATGTTGGCTTGATTGTGGAATTAATTATAAACTTCATGTTGAAATATACTTTTGCTTCATATAAGAATATATGAGAGATTAAAAGTGATGTTTTTGTATATTGATATGAGCTATATTTTCAATGGAAAATTAGTTTGGAAATTGTCTATATGACTATGAGTTGAGAACTTGGTTTAATAAAATTAATCCGACTAGTATTGAAATACTAGTCGGGGTATTGGGATGAGAATATGTTATAATTGATCCAAAGATTGGATTGTGAAATGTTGAGCCTTAAGTAGTCTTAAGAGATACTAAGGTGGATAAGTATGAACTTTAAGTGATACTAGGGGTAGGCCTTAAGGGATACCCAAGATAAAGTGAATAATAAATTGATCCTAGATTTAGGATTGGCCTACGGGTGTGTTTCGGTAGTCTTTGAGGATAGCCGGTTGAGTATTGGTAAATAGTAAGGACCATGGCCCTTCCCGACTCTAGAGAGCGGGGTAGGATAACATGGACTTACATCGTGATCACGGGTTAGGGTGAAATCCGAACCGGAGACCTTACGAGGCTCCCGACAGCGGTAACACTTAAGATAGGACCCCGAATGGACCTTACCTTCCTACGGGATGATGGGTATGAGTCCAGGGGCGGGATGTTGGACTCCGGCCCGAGGGCCTGATGAGGCCTCGGATAGCGGTGACAAGTCTTGTAAAGGATGATAAGACCTACGGGCGGTGTCGTGCTAACGACGGGTATAATGAAATATAAAAAGGGGCCGCGTGCTGACAAATTAATTAATTAACTTATTATGAAGATAATAAGGGTTAAAGAATTATTATTATTATTATTATGTTATCATATCACTCTATTTGAGGGTCTTAGAAATTGAAACATTGATTATACTTAGTATAGTTTCCATTGTACTTGTCAAATGTTTCCAAGTACTGACCTCCCCTTCACGGGGAGGCCACCTCACAATTTCAGGTAGAAGTTGAGCTTGCTACCAGTGCCCGTTGCTTCGGGAGAATAAAAGAAGGAAGACGTGGTTCGTGCTTCCTCCGCTTCTGTTTGAAAAACATTTAAATTAATGCTCATGGATATTATTTTTTTTTAGTAGTTATTTGAGGGCTCGTATGCCCATGTTTGCCAAAGTGTGGCATAAACACTTGTATTAAATGTTTCCGCTGCTTTAAATGAATATTTTACATTATGTTTGTTTATGGATGTACTATGTGTGAATGGTATTCAAGACGCCTTGTATAGTATGGATGTGTTGGACTGCGGTTGACTATTCGTACTGTACGGCGGGTTGTTGACGTGTCCGGAGGGTCCGGGGCGTGACATTTCCACTACGTAATTTAGTGGCCCAAACGGATAATTTCCACAGAAAAAAAACATCGGACCTATAACCTCTTCCGAGCCGGGTCGGAGTTAGTTTTTCCCAATCCTACCCTACATCAGCGGCTTCGGCTCTCAATGCTTCGTTTTTGCTTGTCCTAAGGGGTTGCTTTTGAAAGGCAATTTATTTGTAAAGGCAATTTCTCCCACCGCCTGTACTACCTCCCTGCACCACCATCTTCGATCGGCGTATAAAATGCCATTTTTTCTGAAAAGACCAAAAACATGGCATATTACTCTTTGAAAATGCCAACATTTTCATTCTGTCAACTTGAATAATTCTGACTTCTGCCAAAAATATTACATTCATAATGAATTTGACATTTTTTTTCCCTGGTGACAGGAGGTGGTGGTACTACCTCCCTGCACCACCACCTCCGACCGTTAAAAATATTGTCATATTTACTAAAAACTGTCATTTCCCCCTGAAAATGCCAAAATAATGGCATATTTTTCTCTCTGAGAATACCAACATTTTCATTCTGCCAATTTGAATCATTTTGAATTCTGTCAAAAATATGGCATTCGTAATGAATTTGGCATTTTTACCCAGATGACTGGAGGTGGTGGTGTTGGGGCGGCAGAGGCGGCGGTGATTTTTTTGTTGCTTTTTTTATTTTTTTAAAAATGTTTTTAAATTTTTGTTTAATTTTTTTTATTTTGTTATATATAAGTATTTTTATTAATTTTTTAGTATTTTTTTACCAATTTTTTAGTATTTTTTATTATTTTATTATGAATTAAAACATTTCAATAGCTATAAGAGTATATATGTTCAAGACACACATAATTAGTCCTATGAGAACATAATTTATTTTTTTGTCCTATTTGGGCAAAGTGAGTGACTTTTAGTTTATTTTGACAATTAACCTGGCTTCTAGACCCACTGGTTATGCGAATGGTGTTCCTGCCGAAGAACACAAAGTTTGGTTTTTATTTAATTGTTGTTTTACGATTTAATTTCACGTTGAGACTGTTGTTTTTTATTGTTTTACTGTTTGGTACTGTAAAACTTTTGCATTAGGATTGGGTGATGAGAGTTCTGCGGTAACCGTCTTTGGCTCAGTTATGCCCAATTTAGGATCAGCGAGTTACATTGTTTTGTCAAAGGTGATTAACCCTGAATCTGGTTCAACGGCGGATGGTTACATGTGGTTCTTTTGTTATTATAATCCTCTATCTAAATGCAAGGGCGGCCCTGTATGTTCGAAGGCCTAGGGGCGGAAAATTAAAATGGGCCTAATGTTACAAGAAATTTGTAGAACTCCATTCTATCTTAAATGACATGCATAATAATTATAATAATAATATTATAAGACATTTAGAATTTGACTATGTGTTCTACATTCAGAATATGTTTTCTTTACACAAACAAACTTTTCTATTGAGTTTTTTTTACTTATCCCCGCTTTCTCTAATCTTCTATTCTTTTGTACGGAGTATTTATCGTATTTAGATTCAATCCTTTTTATTACACTTTGAAATTAATTAAATTTACAAATTTTATCATAATTGAAAATATTTGTCTAACAAAATCAACAAGTTATAACCCCAACATTCAATAAAAGACAATCAACAATTAAGAAATCAAACAACCATGAATGGAATCAATTAATAAACTAATCAAATAATCATATCCGACTAATATGCTTTTGAGTGGAATTTCTTTATGAAATTTTAAGTGAATGTTTTTCATCACGTGTAGATTATGTCCATAAAATTTCAGTTAAACTGCAATCGTAAAGTCAGTTAAAAAAAATATCGAAACACAATGCGCCAAAATATGTATAAAAAGTAGTGTTTTCAATAATTTATTTAGGTGACTTCCAAATTAAATTTTAAACTGATTTTTTCTCACATATTCTAAACCTCATAGAAAACATTCAGAAGAACTTCAACAAATTTCACTCGAAAAATTGTTACTTTAGGGCTGAAAAATCAGCCTACTCACATCTATTACAAAGAACTAAACTTGGGCCTAATTTTTACCCATATTTTTTTTGGGCCTAGGGCGCCCGCCCCACTTGCACCCCCCTAGGGCCGCCCTTGTCTAAATGTTGTGATATCAATCTAAGGGAGTGTTTGCGATTACTTCTACTTTAAAAAGGTGATTTTTTAAAGTGATTTTGGAGAAAGTATTAAATAGTAAAAGTTGGTAGTGTTTGAGAAAAAAGTGATTCTGAAAAAGTAAAAGTTGGTAGTGTTTGGTAAAATAAGTGTTTTTTGTGTAATAGAAAAAGTGAAAAGCAGTTTAAAACACCCTTACACCTGCTTCTAGCTTTTAATTTTTAAGTGATTAATTTAAGCAGAAGCTGTCATTTTTTAAACCAAAAGATGAAAAGTGTTTTAATAGGCAACTGCAACCACTCCTTAAGTCTCTTGCAAAAAAATCATTATAATTTTAAAACGATTTTACTACGAAGTACTCCGATTTTATGCGATTATTATGGAGAATTCTTTTACTACGAGTTCATGAGTTTAGGATTTACCTTGCAATTTAAATCGATTTATTAGTGATGTAACCATATATATTTCTTGAAAAGGAAAGGAAAAAGGGGCAAATAAGGCCACATATTAACCAAAAAGGTCAAATAAGACTTTATTTGGGAGGCTCTGTCCGGACGTCGCCATTTGCGGTGGTTCTCGGTGGAATTTTTTGTTGATTTTTTTTTAGCATCTTATTCATTAAGTTTAGTTTACTCATATCAAATTTCAGCTAACAATTCAATCGGGAAGGCATTCAAATTAATTTTTTAAGATAACTGCGTTTTTAACTGCACAGTTATCTTCAAGAATTCATTTGAATACCTTCCCGATTGAATTGCTAGCTGAAATTTGGTATGAGTAAACTAGACTTAATGAATAAGATATTCAAAAAAATTCATCAAAAAATTCCACCGGGAACCAACCCAAATGGCAACGGCCGGACAGAGTCTCCTAAATAAGGTCTTATTTGATCTTTTTTTGTTAGTACGTGACCTTATTTGTCCCTTTTGGAAAATAACAAACAAACGTAACATAGAATTACTGCGAATTACTGCGACACGGCAATTAAGGTGCATTAGAAAAATACATTAATGTAACACAAGAGTCTGATGATGCAAAACATAATACCTAATGAAAAATATTGCCAAAAATAGAAATTAAACACGATGAGAGTACATGAAGGCCCATGCAATTTCCAGCTGTGATCTTGGATTTAAATCTGGACAACCTCCATCCATCGGATTAACTTTGAAGATTATATTATCTGTCAACCTGACAAAAATATCAAATAAGAACTTAAATGTAGTGGAAATTGACATGCATGCAATGGAAATTTTAAATACAGCATGTATAATTAATATTCCGTAATATATACTTAATTACTTAATTATACAGAGACTATAAATTACCTCGAGAAAGCTTTTTGGACTTGAGTATGTGTAGAAGTTGCTTCACATGATCGGCACACTCCACCGTCTCACCTTTACCACTGCCAAGAACCACAGGTTTATCAAACTTGTCTGTCAGATTCTTCATTTCAAGTGTTCTTTCGGACATAGTTTCCCAGTTTAGCTGACATTTTACATCAAAACCAGTTGGGCGAAGCGTAGGAAAAACCCCATCTTCGTTAGGTTGAAAAACCCTGGCGACGCGTTGCTGGAATTTTCTAATTCTAACACATTCTGGCACCATTTGGATAAAGGCTAGAAAGGCTCGGGCTATTAAATAATCCCTCCTACGGTCGGTTCTATCTAACTCAGAGAGTTCACAAATGTATGAATTGAATGCGGCCAAGCCTAGAGAAAAGTCCATCCTACTTTTCTCAGGTGAAAGTTTTGCATACGATTCAAGATGACCATAAGAGGCCGCGAAAGCAAGGTGATGAAAATCAAAAGACTTGTACTCTTTGGACGAAAATATTTTTTTCATAAGACTCAAGCTAACATCCTTGAAATACCATACACAGTTATTTGAAGCAAATGCAACCAGATATATATCACTTTTCTTAACAACTACTTTGATAGAAAAGTTTCCCCATACTAATTTTAGAAGAAAATAATTGTTTAAATCATCCTCAGCATCTGGACGGGTTATGGGAATTTCTAAGTGGGTTTCAGATGTCAAGAGGGTTAAGCACGTTTCTATGAAGTTTTCATAGTAAGACGCATCGAGAAAATCGGAGTTAAACACTATTTCTTCAAATTCATGAAGAGGGTGAGAAGAAGCAGACAAAGATGAAGAAGGATGGTGGGGGCGAGACTTTGAAGGCTTGGACTTTGACTTAGAAGAAGAAGAAGAAGACATGAACGTAATCTTACTAGCTGTGAGAAGAAAAAAGGGAGTGGCTGGGAACTACTAAGTAGAAATGCCGGATCTGTTTTATAAATGAAACAAGTAAACAAACAAAAACTAGAAAGCAAGCAGTATAATAGATGCATACCTGCAGCTGGCTGCTGGCTTTGATGATTTCGATCCGAAAGTGGTATGCTCGAAGCTCTAAAAACTGAAATTGATTTTCCTGAGCTGATCCTTTGTTTTACACTAGAATGGCAATGAAAAGGCTCCAGAAGGAGATGCTTTAATTAAGTGTGAGCAGATATATATATGTAGCGTGTAAACATGAGTAAGAAGTAGTAATGGTTACCCATAATCCGTACTTAGCTAGCTGCGGGTCTACGCTGGTTATTCATTACCCTATCCGTAGCTTGTTTATAGACCTCATTATTATCGATCTCAGGGTCTTGTACTCTTATCCGTTAGTACTCCATATTCTATTAAAAAAAAAACAAATTTGCTCTTTGTACCCACCCATTGTACCCAACCCTATACACACTACAATTATCCAAAAAAATTACCCCCTCTTTTCCCCCCCTCCCCTTTTCCCCGCACCTCACCCGCGTAACTCACTTGCTCTTCCCCTTTCTTGAAAATCAAAACACCTACTGATGTGCTTATATTTTACACATTTTTTAGGCTTAGTTTGTTAATAATCTTGGTCACTTAAGTTGTATATTTGTACATATTTTTATTATTTATCGTTACTTTGTACGTGTGCAGTCCTATGCATGTATTTTTGTATTTTCAGGTACTTTTGATACTATTTGATACATTTGTGTGTGAAGAAAAGAAGAAAATAAAAGTTCAAGTTGGAGATCAATAAAAGTGGAATTTCCTACAAAGCAAAAGAGTAAAATGAAGAAAAGAAGCAAATGATAAAAAGGGTGGAAGCATCTAGGATTCGATCCTTCGACCCAAGGGAATGAGGGAGCAAATCTGAACCAGTGAGCTAAATGTCTAAGTTGCAAAGGTTTAGCTGGAGCTTATTTTAATTCCTTTCAACTGCAGCAAGAAAAGACGAAAAAATACGTCAATAGAAGGGGTCGAACACGGGACCTCAGAGTCCTAAGAGCATTCCATTTCCACTGCACTGCTACGCGTTATTGATGCTTAGACGCGATTTCTTGTACATATACTATTAGGTTCCGTAAATTCCAGCAATTAATCATTAATCATCTTATCATTATAAGGCTTAATCCATCTCCTTCCACACAATATCTCGAGCCATCTTCTCTCTAAACCTCCCAGAATCATTTCCTCCTCCTTCTCTCTTCATTCTTCATCTCCAAATCATCAACCAATCTTCAACATCAATTAATCACTTTCTCAATCAAGATTAAAGTCAAGATTAGCACCAAGCTCCAAGGATTGTCATCTATCACAAGTTTGATCTTCCTTATCTCTTTAAATCTTGTACTTCAATCATGAATTCATCTATTTCTAAGCTTCCCAACATGTATAGCTAAATAAATTTGGGGCTAGAAATTGGTTAATTAATTGTTCTTATCATGTTTTAATTTGTATTGATTTTAATTGTTAAGTTTGTTCTATTTAGATTGTTGTGTCCAGAAAATTAATTATGTTATGTTTGTGATATATATTATGAGTACTCAATCATAAACATATTGTTTGTTAAATACACAAATGAACACTTTCTGAACACACCGTTAAACTTCTTTTACCTTGTCCCGGATTGAAGTTTTACGGGAGAATTTAATTATTTAATTATATTATTTACACCACGGGGTTGGGTAAATAATATAGTTAATAATTAAGGTTGTCGTTGCACTTAAACAACTAGTCTCGTTTTGGCCATCACTGGGAAATGTTGACTAGTTACTTATTTTAGATGACTTGTGTTGGGTCCTAAAATATTTATCCACAACTTCTCACAATCTATCTACGAATAAAATTAGCAATTATTTCTTTCAATTAAACATTGAACAATTAGTTACCAATTTCTACCCCTACTTGCTATTGGTTGAACTTTGTGTTGATAAAAATCTCTCATCTCAATCACTTTTATTTTATTACTTTTCCAAGCAACCAAAAAAAATCAAAAGAAACGCACTTCCAACTTTAATCCTTAGTTTGTGCTTAATTATTTTATTTCCCGCTTCTCTGTGGTTCGACACCCTACTTCCTTGGGTAAAAAATAGTTGTGTGCCCATTATATGCTACACACCAACTTGGCGCCGTTGCCGGGGAAGCGGTTTTGAAAAAAAAAAGTGAAAGCATGAACTTTTGATTTTAGTTATTGTAAATTGTGTGTATATTATTTTGTTGTTATCTTGTTTGCTCTTGCAGGTTCAAAAAAAAAAATATACAAAAAAAAAAAAATACGAGTAATTAATTAAAGTTCAAAAAAAAAAAAAAAAACAAATTGAACTGTGATTAATTACCTTACCTGCGCATTGGAGTTGGACTTGTTAACTGAACATATATCTGGACATTTGGACCATTGGACATATTGTCACATTTTAATTCAACGGATAATCCGCCTATATGGTCGGACCGCTAATTTGTACATATTAATTCAACGGATAATCCGCCTATATGGTCGGACCGTTTACTTGTACATAATAATTTAAAGGATACTCCGCCTATATGGTCGGACCGTTTATTTTTCTTTTTATGGTGGTTAAAACTCCAACTTTTTAATTTTTGCACTTTAATTATCGCAATTTAATTTATGCACTTTAATTATCGCAATTTAATTTCCGCACTTTAATTTCAGCATTTTTTTATTTTGCATCCCCAAGCTGGTCGGCCGTGTCCGCTTGTTGGTGGCGTGCACTTTTTAATTTATTTCTTAATAATCCCCAGACTGTCGGCACAGCTGCATCTTGGTGGAGACTGTATTTATTACTGTAGTTTTTTTTTTCTTCTTCTCAAATCACCATATCTGTCGGCCCTGCCGCATCCTGGTGAATTACTGTATATATTAATACTGCTTTAAGGGCTCACTAGTCTTATTCGGTTTATACCAATTGACTACGTGCGAACCTTAATTAATTAATTAATTCCACATTTTTTCTTTTCTTTTCATCTCTCTCTTTTCCCAATCCCGATTCCCTTCTGCTTATGCTTACACGTTCACGTGGTGCAAATTGTGAGTTGTTATTCTTCTTTGACATTGAAAAGCACATACGTGAACAGAAAAAAAAAAAATGTCAAACGATGTTGTTGTAAATGAGCAGGAACCAGATCAACAAATCGTGGATCAGCTTACAAGGACCAGGAAACCATTGTATGATTATGTTACGCCTCCCGTGGATGAGCATGACAGTGTTATTCCACCGGAGGTTAACATGAACCAATTTGAAATCAAGCCTGCTATCATCCACATGGTTTCAAATGATCGATTTGGCGGAGCGCCAACGGAGGATCCAAATAATCACATCACAAAGTTCCTTCGAGCTTGCAACACCTTCAAAATCAATGGTGTGCCATCTGATGCTGTCAGACTACGCCTATTCCCATTCTCTCTACGGGATCGAGCTCAGAGTTGGCTTGACTCTTTTCCAGACAATCACTTCTCCACTTGGGATCAACTTCATGGTGAATTTCTCAAAAGATTTTTTCCGCCATCTAAAACGGCGAAAATCCGGAGAATGATTCAAAATTTCAAACAAAATCCCAACGAGCCCCTCTATGAGGCTTGGGAAAGATTCAAAGATCTCCAGCGACAGTGTCCACATCATAACATCCAAAACTGGCACTTGATGACGGCTTTCTATGAAGGCCTAAGTGAAAATTCTCGGATACTTGTGGACGCGTCCGCAAATGGATCATTCATGTGCCTAGAACTTGAAGAGGCAGAAGAATTGATGGAACGCATTTCATCAAATGGATCAACATGGTATTCTGAGCGATCATCTGCTCCACCAAAAATCGGAGGCATGTACGAAGTTGATCAAATGTCGGCCATAACCACAAAGGTTGATAACATGATGACTCTGATCCAAAAGATGGCACAAGTCTCTCTTGTGCAAAACTCTACATCAACAACACCTCCGGTTCCCGTTCTTATGTGTGAATCTTGCGGTGGACAACACAATCAGTCCACTTGTCCATGGGAAGCAATGGAACAAGTTGACTATGTCAACTACAACAGGTAGCCCCAACAAAATCAGTTTGGTAATTTCAATCCTCAAGGAAGAAACCATCCCGGTTTTTCCTGGAGCAATCAAAATGGAGCTGCTAATCCACAACAAACTTACCGAAGTGCACCACCAGGTTTCCAAAATCAACAACAACAATTCAGAGGTGGCCAAGGTATTGTGAACCAGCAACAATATAAACCCACTCAAAATCTTCCATACCCTTCAAGTCAACAACAAAAACCACTTCTTCCCACTCCTGAAACAACCCAAACTCCCGTCCTAGAAAACATTGTTGACCAACTTCTTAAGTCCCAACTATCTCAAGCTGAAACCCTGAAACAAATCACTGAAGAACTTGGTCAACTCCGGGCTCACAACAGGATGCTTGAGAATCAAATTGCTAATCAAGCATCCACATCATCGACTAAGGTGACGGGTAAGCTCCCTTCTTGCCCCGAAAACCCGAGGGAGCAAATCAATGTTGTCACTACTCGGAGTGGGAAACAACATCAATCCTTGCCCCTTTCTAATGATGAACAAGAACATGAAATGTTGGAGGAAGGGATCGTGCAACAACAGAAAGGTGGAAACAATAACAATGAACATGATGTCGGTACCATGCCGAAATCATCTGATGATCGTGAAGGATTAATGAAACCAAGAGAAAGTCCGGTAAGGAAATACATTCCCCCAATTCCTTATCCGAACAGATTGAAGAAAGCCAATATGGAGGAGCGGAGAACAAAATTTTTGAATGTTATCAAGCAATTGGATATCTTAATTCCTTTGCTTGATGCCATTACAGAAATTCCTTCATATGCTAAATTTCTCAAAGACATTCTCACAAAGAAGAAGGAGAATCCAGCCACTGTTGCAATGAGTCAAGAATGCAGTGCCATCATCCAAAATAAGATCCCACCCAAGTTATGTGATCCTGGAAGCTTCTCAATTCCATGTACCATTGGTGGATCTAAAGTTAAAAAAGCTCTTTGTGATCTTGGTGCAAGTGTTAGCTTAATTCCTTATTCATTATGTCAAAAGCTACACTTGGGGGATCCCAAACCAACAACGATGGCATTGCAATTGGCTGATCGATCTGTCAAATATCCTATCGGCATTCTTGAAGATGTTCCTGTCAAAATTGACAAGTATTATATCCCAGGAGACTTTGTTGTCTTGGATATGGAAGAAGATGCCCGAGTTCCTGTTATTCTCGGGAGACCTTTTCTAGCTACAGCAGGGGCTATTATCAATGTCAAAAAGGGTACCCTTATCCTTGAGATTGGGGATGATAAGATCGAATTCAATGTACGAGAGCTGAGTAAGGATACACCTTGTGTCCTTGATGGTTACTATGTTGATGTTATAGACTCTTGTACTACAAATACATTTGATGAGTCTTATTGGCTTTCTAAAGATCCAATGGAGTACACCATACGAGAATCTATTGCAGATGAGCAAGCCAATGAAATGGTAAATTTATGCCTCGAAATGTTGCAAAGCATATCTTTACCGATGCCTAAAGCACTTAAATTTGAAGTGCTTAATCTTGAAGATCAATCCTTGAATGTCAAAGGAAAAGCACCTGAAGTAGAACTCAAACCACTTCCATCTACTTTGAAATATGCTTTTCTTGGTCCGGATTCCACTTATCCTGTCATTGTGAATGCTGATTTGGATCTTCAACAAGTGGAAAGATTATTGCAAGTCTTACGAAGCCATCGAAGAGTTATTGGCTACACCATCGATGATATTGTTGGCATAAAGGCATCTTACTGCATGCACCGCATTTACTTGGAGGATGATCACAAGCCGAGCATTGAGCACCAAAGGCGTCTCAACCCGAACATGAAAGATGTTGTTAAAAAAGAAATTCTGAAATTGTTGAGTTCGGGTATCATTTTTCCCATTTCGGACAGCAAATGGGTAAGTCCTATCCACGTGGTGCCAAAGAAAGGAGGAATTACTGTTGTGAAGAATGACAAAAATGAACTGATTCCTACCCGAATAGTCACTGGTTGGCGCATGTGCATTGACTACCGCAAACTCAACAAGGCAACTCGAAAAGATCATTTTCCACTTCCTTTTATTGATCAATTGCTGGAGAGGATGGCTAAGCACAAGTATTTCTGTTTTCTTGACGGATTCTCTGGATTCTTCCAAATCCCAATTCATCCGGATGATCAAGAAATGACAACATTTACATGTCCTTATGGTACTTTTGCATATCGCAGAATGCCATTTGGATTATGTAATGCACCTGGAACCTTTCAACGATGTATGCTAGCTATTTTCTCGGATCTTGTCGAGGAAATTATGGAAGTTTTTATGGATGACTTCTCGGTTTACGGGATTTCATTTGATGATTGTCTTGAAAATCTTGAAAAAGTGCTGAGCAAATGTGAAGAAGCAAACCTTATCCTCAACTGGGAAAAATGTCATTTTATGGCAACCGAAGGCATTGTGCTTGGGCACAAAATTTCTGAAAAAGGCATCGAAGTAGACCCAGCAAAAATAGAAGTCATTGAAAAATTGCCTCCTCCTTCCTCCATCAAGGGGATTCGCAGTTTTCTTGGCCATGCAGGATTCTATCGCCGGTTTATTAAAGATTTTTCAAAAATATCAAAGCCCTTAACCAATCTTCTCTCCAAAGATGTGGAGTTTAATTTTGATGAATCTTGCTGCACCGCATTTTCAAAGCTCAAGTTGGCCTTAACTACTGCACCAATCATAAGGCCACCTGATTGGAATCTTCCTTTTGAACTCATGTGTGATGCGAGCGATTATGCCGTGGGAGCTATTCTGGGTCAACGCAAAGGAAAAGAAATCTATGCCATTTATTATGCAAGCCATACTCTTGATGATGCCCAATCAAATTATGCCACAACTGAAAAAGAGTTTCTTGCCATAATATTTGCCATTGAAAAATTCCGATCTTATCTTATCGGAAGCAAGATTATTGTCTATACCGATCATGCGGCTATCAAATACCTCATCAATAAAAAGGATGCAAAATCGAGGTTGCTGCGGTGGATCTTGTTACTACAAGAGTTTGACATGGAAATCCGTGATAGAAAAGGATCTGAAAATGTTGTTGCCGATCATTTATCTCGTCTTGAGATTCCTTGTGATATCAAAATGCCAATCAATGATTATTTCATCGGGGAAAAACTCATGTCTGCTCAATTTTTTGATCCATGGTTTGCCGATATTGCAAATTACCTTTCTCATGGGGTAATTCCACATGGGGCTACACATGCTGAAAAGAAGAAGTTAAAATATGACTCCCGTTACTACCATTGGGCAGAACCTTTTCTCTATAGAAGGTGTGCCGATGGTGTCATTCGACGGTGTTTGCCCGAAAATGAAGTTTCAAACGTCTTGCATCATTGCCATTCCTCAGCATATGGGGGACATCATGGAAGCTCTCGTACTGCTGCAAAAATTTTACAATCGGGTTTCTTTTGGCCCACTCTTTTCAAAGATGCAAGCAAATTTGTGAAAAACTGTGATCGTTGCCAGCGTACTGGCAATATCGGAAGAAAGAATGAAATGCCTCAGCATGGCATACTTGAAGTCGAATTGTTCGACGTATGAGGGCTCGATTTTATGGGGCCATTTCCTAAATCAAATGGGAAAGAGTTCATCCTTGTAGCTGTTGATTATGTTTCTAAATGGGTAGAAGCAGCTGCCACACTGACTAATGATGCCAAAGTGGTGATCCAATTTATTCAGAAGAATATTTTCTCCCGATTCGGAGTTCCAAGATCTTTCATCACCGACAATGGTACTCATTTTTTTAACAAGGCATTGGAACGTGTCCTTTCCAAATATGGGATTCACCACCGACTCTCAACTCCATATCACCCGCAAACAAATGGCCAGGTAGAACTTTCAAACCGAGAAATCAAATCAATTCTCGAGAAAGTTGTTAATCCTTCCCGAAAGGATTGGGCCGACAAGCTTGATGATGCACTATGGGCATACCGCACTGCCTATAAAAATCCCATTGGAACCTCACCATTCAAATTGGTGTATGGGAAAGCCTGTCATCTTCCTGTTGAGGTTGAACACAAAGCATATTGGGCAATCAAGACACTCAACATGGATCTTGCATTGGCGGGTGAGAAACGACTGTTGCAGCTAAATGAACTTGAAGAATTTAGACTTGCAGCTTATGATAGCTCAAAAATATACAAGGAGAGAACAAAAGTTTTGCATGACCGAGTGATCAGCCGGAGAAAATTTGAACGGGGAGATAAAGTTCTTCTATTTAACTCACGTTACAAATTCTTCCCCGGAAAACTAAAAACCCGGTGGTTGGGTCCATTTGAAGTACTTGAAGCATTCCCATCCGGAGCAGTTCAGTTGTTAAACAAAAGCGGACAGAAACTCATGGTAAATGGACAACGATTGAAATTATATCATGATGGTGAGAAACAAGAGGCAACTTCTGTGTATTGCCTCATTGATCCAGAATATGAATGAAAGGCATGGGTCAAGCTAATGACCTTAAACGAGCGCTTCTTGGGAGGCAACCCAAGTTTGTAAATTTCTCAAAAAAAAAAACAAAAAAAAGTCAAGTCAAAAAAAAAAAAAGACAAAAAAAAAAAAGATTAGTCTAGGTTTTCTTTATTTCTTTGGACTCCAAAGGGGCCACATCCGCTCAAAGGGATCTCCAAACGTCATGCGGATAAACAATTCCAGATTCGGCCGCGCTTCAGGGAAGTTTTCTTTACACTCCTTTAATTTCTTTTCCACTGAGGACAGTGCAAATTTTAAGTGTGGGGGAGTGGGTAGTTCGACCCTGATTTCTTGTGTGAATATTTTTTTTTTCTCCTTGTGTGCTTGTGTGATTTTGTTTTATTTATTTTGTGTGTTTTGTTTGTGAATAAAGATCAGTCTTGTCCAAAATGCAACAATAGACTAGCAACACACTAGTTTACACTTTTTGTTACTAGTCACCTCCATAACTTTTTAAATTATTCATTCACCTCTTTTGATGAAATGTGGTTTGAGTTTGAGAAGTGTCACTGTAATTTTTTGAGAGTAACTTAGTATGAGCTTTGAACTTGATTCTTTTTAACAATTTAACATTACACCTTAGATTTTATTTTTCCAATTTATTGGTTTAATAGTTGAATTAGTGAAAGTTTATGCAGTTTAAGATGTTTATACATTTATTCTCCTTGAAATTTAATTTGAACTTGACACATTAGAAATGATTTAGGCCATCTTTGTTTACCCATCAAGCCAAACACTATCCCTTTGTAAATAAATAACACTTTCCCTAGTAACCCTGTTTGAGCCTTTTCAGTGTACAAGTGTAAAATAACTTACTTCACTTGTTACTAATTTTTCTTGTGACCTTGTAAATACATAACCTTGTGAAATCCTACCCAAGTCATTTTTGTTTCAACCCTAGAGTAGTTTGTATTGTTACTTGAGAGTGGATAAAATGAAACTTCTGTTAAGTGTCATATTAGTGATGTACATATTTGTTTGTAAATTTTGGGGTTAGTTTTTCATTGTAATATTTAGTGTGTGCCTTCTTAAAAAAAAAGATACCAAAAAAAAGAAAAGAAAAGAAAAAAAAAAAGAAAAAAAAAAGAAAAAAAAAAGAAAAAAAAACAAAAAAAAAAACAAAGAGGCACATTAATTTCTTGTTGTGATTTCTTCTGTAAAACCCCATTTTTACTTCCTTTTCATGTTTATATTTCTCATTGTTTTGTATGCTCCAAGTTCTTGTAAATTCATGTGATTATCCGCTCAGTATAAGTGCAATCTAACTCTCTTTGTAAATCCCTACACCAAACCTTTCTTTCCACTAGCCACATCATTAAGCTCGCCAAAACCCGAAAAGTCCTAATTGATCTATTTGTGTCATTTTTTGAATTAAGTTAATTGGAGAAACTTGTTCCGCACAACCCGAACTAATTCAGATCTATAGGTGTTTATGTTAAAAGTTTGATTTGAAAATCTTAGTGATAGGCAATAATACTCGGTTTACTCTCATTGAGTTATTTTGTGACATTTCAGGGTATTGGACCGTTTAGTGGACATTAGAGGTGTATGTGTGATTTGTTTAGTTATGTTTGTAAATTTTACCAAATTGTGTATATTTTTGTGTTTGTTGTTTATTTTGCTTGAGGACAAGCAAAAGCCTAAGTGTGGGGGATTTGATGTGCTTATATTTTACACATTTTTTAGGCTTAGTTTGTTAATAATCTTGGTCACTTAAGTTGTATATTTGTACATATTTTTATTATTTATCGTTACTTTGTACGTGTGCAGTCCTATGCATGTATTTTTGTATTTTCAGGTACTTTTGATACTATTTGATACATTTGTGTGTGAAGAAAAGAAGAAAATAAAAGTTCAAGTTGGAGATCAATAAAAGTGGAATTTCCTACAAAGCAAAAGAGTAAAATGAAGAAAAGAAGCAAATGATAAAAAGGGTGGAAGCACCTAGGATTCGATCCTTCGACCCAAGGGAATGAGGGAGCAAATCTGAACCAGTGAGCTAAATGTCTAAATTGCAAAGGTTTAGCTGGAGCTTATTTTAATTCCTTTCAACTGCAGCAAGAAAAGACGAAAAAATACGTCAATAGAAGGGGTCGAACACGGGACCTCAGAGTCCTAAGAGCATTCCATTTCCACTGCACTGCTACGCGTTATTGATGCTTAGACGCGATTTCTTGTACATATACTATTAGGTTCCGTAAATTCCAGCAATTAATCATTAATCATCTTATCATTATAAGGCTTAATCCATCTCCTTCCACACAATATCTCGAGCCATCTTCTCTCTAAACCTCCCAGAATCATTTCCTCCTCCTTCTCTCTTCATTCTTCATCTCCAAATCATCAACCAATCTTCAACATCAATTAATCACTTTCTCAATCAAGATTAAAGTCAAGATTAGCACCAAGCTCCAAGGATTGTCATCTATCACAAGTTTGATCTTCCTTATCTCTTTAAATCTTGTACTTCAATCATGAATTCATCTATTTCTAAGCTTCCCAACATGTATAGCTAAATAAATTTGGGGCTAGAAATTGGTTAATTAATTGTTCTTATCATGTTTTAATTTGTATTGATTTTAATTGTTAAGTTTGTTCTATTTAGCTAGATTGTTGTGTCCAGAAAATTAATTATGTTATGTTTGTGATATATATTATGAGTACTCAATCATAAACATATTGTTTGTTAAATACACAAATGAACACTTTCTGAACACACCGTTAAACTTCTTTTACCTTGTCCCGGATTGAAGTTTTACGGGAGAATTTAATTATTTAATTATATTATTTACACCACGGGGTTGGGTAAATAATATAGTTAATAATTAAGGTTGTCGTTGCACTTAAACAACTAGTCTCGTTTTGGCCATCACTGGGAAATGTTGACTAGTTACTTATTTTAGATGACTTGTGTTGGGTCCTAAAATATTTATCCACAACTTCTCACAATCTATCTACGAATAAAATTAGCAATTATTTCTTTCAATTAAACATTGAACAATTAGTTACCAATTTCTACCCCTACTTGCTATTGGTTGAACTTTGTGTTGATAAAAATCTCTCATCTCAATCACTTTTATTTTATTACTTTTCCAAGCAACCAAAAAAAATCAAAAGAAACGCACTTCCAACTTTAATCCTTAGTTTGTGCTTAATTATTTTATTTCCCGCTTCTCTGTGGTTCGACACCCTACTTCCTTGGGTAAAAAAATAGTTGTGTGCCCATTATATGCTACACACCACCTACCGACCACGACCACTTCCCCATACTTCTCTCCCGAGAAAAAGGTCGATTCAGTACTTGAAGTCGAGCCCGGTGGAGTAAAGAGTACATGTTCTTGAAAATCAGTTTAAATGGTACACCGTTTGGCTATTTTAGAGCCGAAATAGTACTTAGGGTACAGACCTGCGTTATTTATGTTGATGTGGCTAACGGAATACTGACCTGGAATAAAAAAAAATGCCACCTCATCCGTTAACTAAGTTTATGGTGTACAAACCCTAACCACGACCGTTGTTACCCTCAACATTATGCCAACACTTAACAAAAATCAGCATTGAGCATGGCTTCCGAAGCTTAGAGAGGTGAAGGGGAAGGAGGAACTGAAGCAGTAATCATGGAAAACACGAATCAAAGGTATGAATACGTTGCTCATCTATGTGTAATCTATGAGTTGTATGTAAATTTCTATTCTGTAAGTATTGTATTTCGTTTTTTACATATCAGTTAGAGAAAGGGCACGAAGTATTTACTTTTAAACGGTACACCATTATAGGGACAATTTATGCACTTATTAAATGGTTTTTCTTTGTTAATGAATTTGGTATTTATGACTGTATGTGAAGTCCAACTACCCGCACAGGCTTTGACAGTGGGATGCAGGAGGCGGTTGTTAATATTGGATTTGAAGATCCAGGGGTAGAGGCAGAAGCTAATTTGCTTTTCGAAGAGGACTTCAATTCAGAAAACGAAGATGATGAGGAATTGCTCCATGGGAGATTGGAGCTAAAAAAACTTGTCACCAAACGAAAGAGTGTTGCTAGAGGAAAGGAAAAGGTAATTCAAGAAGGGACATATGAGGATGGTGATGATAATGACACTGATTATTTCACTTCATCTGATGAGGGAAGTTACAAATCTGGGTCAGATGGAGAAGAAGAGGGGAGTTTGAGAACAAAGTCAAGATTTCCTACTTTCAAACCAGATGACAAGGTGGAGTTCAGGTTGGGTATGAGTTTTGAGTCAAAAGCTGAAGCTAAAGATGCCATGGACAAGTATTCTATCACTAACAGATATTTATACTATTGGGCAAATAACTGTGCTGATATGCTCAGGGCCACATGCTCCAATTTAAACAAAGGCTGCACTTGGATGGTGTACATTGCCATAGAAAGTAGAAGCAATAGTAAGAAGTGGGTTGTGAAGACATATCATAGTTGTGACACCGCACCCGAACGTCCTTGAAAATTTGATTTAAATATTCAAAGTTTACGTATTGGATTTCTGATTCCCAAACAATTGTAAAACGATTAATGTTTTACGTAATTAATGATCGAATATTGCACTGTTCGAACTCGTATATTAGTGTCGGACATACAAATACTATTTGGGACTTATTAATAGATAAAAGAGCCCAACATTTTCTAAATAGTAATACATGACCTTTCAAGACAATTTGAGGAAGGTCGGGCGGCCCAAACATTATTTTGGGCCCAACCTGCTAAAAATAGCAAGTATTCGAGAATGGCGTTCTAGACCCACTCGGGAGTGACCCACACGGCTAGTAGCCCAATAATATGTATGACAAATGTCAAATGAGTGATAGAATGATTAAAGAAGAATACAAATGCCTATAACCCCATCTTTGGCATTATTGAGCTAAAAAATGGGAGTAGGATTTTCCTTCTATAATATCCATCAAGTAAATTATTGGGATGAGCCTACACATATTGGAGATCAATAATGTGATTTAATAAGTTGACTTGTTCTAAATAAATTAGAATGAGTACAAAGAGACATCTTATGACAAAGAGATCAAAAGTGGGACCCACCCATGTCTAAAAACATCTCATGGAGACCATACCAATTCATTTCACTCCACACAACTTATCCACCCTTATTGAAGGGTCTTGGACACTCCCTTAAGCCCCTCATTCGAACTCCCAAGGATAAGGGAGAAAGAGAGAGCCACACAACCAAGAAAGCAAGAGGAAGGGGAAGCTGCCGCAGGTTCGTTTTCCAGTGCGTAAGGTTACTTGTTTGCCTCATATCTCGAGTTATACACATCCAAATAAGGCGTGCGAGATACCCACAGAAAGCTCTCAAGACGAGGAATCCGTGAAGGTCTGGTTTGCATCAATCGGAGTAGTGGAAGGCTTCCAAATCGTCCGAGCAAAACACAACCTCGCGGAATACGTTTTTGTATTCAAAGTAAGTTTGAATCCAAAACCTTCCTCTCTATTGTCTAAACCATATAAATGATTGAAGAACTATTATACACTGATTGAAGTGTATAAAATGTTATTATAAAGTGACTTTAATTGTTGGAAAAGTTAGATACTAATCTAGACAAAACCTTGAAAGGTTAGGGAACGATTTCGTCGGGAAACACCCGTTCTAGGGACTGTTTTTGTGTCTTCGGTTAGGAGTTGAACTAGCACTTTGAAGAGGCTGTTTAACACTCAATTCCAAGAAAGGAATCAGTCCTCAATCTTTCTTGGCCGAGGCTTTGGTCATTGGATCGAGAAGGAAAGTTTTAAAGCTCATTTGAGGTGAGGACCGACATCTAGTTGCTTACAACTTGTAGGTTATGCATGAGATTACCTAAATGCTTGAATCATGTTTTTGTGAATAAATATGCTTGAACATGATATGAATGATAAGTAATGGACTTGATCATGAATTGAAACCATATTGATGAATATGGAGTTATGTGAGATAAAAGTATGCTAATATGGTAAATTGACCTTCCAACTCATGTATAAATGTTATGTGAACGTGAATGTATAATTGTATGATGATGCTTAGCACATGGGAGGCTGCCACATATCGATTGATATGGAGGGGCTACCATAAATGATAAATGAGTTGTAGGAATAATCTTAATAGTATTGTGATGCTAGTTAAGGATTGTTCTAAATGTTGATAGAATCAAACTTAAAGGTTGAGTTTGTTTGTGATGAACTTGAATAAGATTCAAGTGTCAATTGTGATTTCATAGAGTAAGTGATCTATGGTGTGATTGTATGAAGTAGGAGATCTATGGTGTGATTGTATGAAGTAGGAGATCTATGGTGTGAATACATGAAGTAGGAGATCTATGGGGTGAATACATGAAGTAGGAGATCTATGATATGATTACATGAAGTAGGAGATCTATGATGCGAGTGCATGATGATGTACTCGAGCCGAACTCTAGAAATGAGAAGTTATATTAGGGTTGGACCCTATGTATGTCGTGACTATTAGTCACGGGGTTTGGGAAATGTTTTATAACAAACATGGGCCTTTGAGCCGACTACTTGACTTTATATAAAGTAAGTATATATTTTGAAAGGGGTAATTTGGGATTACGGCCTATACTATATTATCACCCTATTCGAGGGTCTTGTGTGTGAAATACTTGTTGTATATCTATTAGATGCCTGCCACACCAGTACTTTATAGCCGTATAGAGTACTGACCCCTTCGGGGGCGTCCCACCACCATTTCAGGTTGAGGCTTGAGCTTGTTACCTGTGCCCGTTGCTCGGGTGATCCTTTGGAGAGAAGACGTGGTTCGTGCTTTCTCCATTCTGTTTTGAACAATATTAAACATGCTCATGGATATTTTACTATAGAGCCTGCGTGCTCATGAATAGCCCTGTGTGGCCCTTTTGTTTTAAACAATGTTTTCCGCTGCGTTATGAATTACTTATTATGTTTGTTTATGGATGTATATGTGTGAATGATATTCAAGACGCCTTGTATAATATGAATGTGTTGGACTGCGGTTGACTATTCGTATTGTACGGCGGGTTGTTGACGTGTCCGGATAGGTCCGGGGCGTGACAATAGTCACCATACATGCAACCCGGACTGGCAAATACCTAGTGCAACTGCTTCTTGGTTAGTGAAGAATTTTTTCAAGTCTAAGGTTGGAGTGGCTGAGATGAAGGTGGGTGCCATGAGGGAAATGGTGAAGAGAGAATTAAACTGTGATGTTACTCTTGAACAAATGAAAAAGGCTAAGACAATGATTAGAAAGCTTGAAAAGGGAGATATAGAGGAAGAATACAGGAACTTGGAGGATTATAAGGAAGAAATACTAAGGTCCAATAAGGGTAATACTTGCATCCTAAATCTAAGGCAGCCTAGCCCAATATTTGATAGGTTTTATGTGTGCTTTGATGCATGTAAAAAAGGATTCCTAGAAGGGTGTAGAAGGCTGATAGGTATAGATGGGGCATTTCTGAAAACTGAGGTGAAGGGTGAAATTCTAACAGCTGTAGGAAGAGATGCAAACAACCAAATGTTCCCAATTACATGGGTATGTAGTTGTACCTTCTGAGACTAAAGCCACCTGGAAGTGGTTTATAGAGAATCTGAGAGAAGACTTGAATATTGGAAGGGGGAAAGACTGGGCTTTTGTTTCTGATCAACAAAAGGTCACACCTAGGGGTGGACTCGGGCCGGGCCAACCGGCCCGGAACCGGACCGGCCCGCTACTGTGCGGGCCCGGACCGGCCCGGTCAACTGGTTCGTGCACCGGTTCGGGCCACCCGGCCCGGTGGGATGGCGGTCCGGGCTCGGGCCCTGATTTTGGTGAACCGGCCCGGCCGGTTCGGGCCGGATTTTAATTTTTTTTTTTTTTGAAATTTTTTTAAGTTTTGGGTTGGATTAGGTATTTTGGGCCATTTGAGGTGGTTTGGGGTGGTTTGGGGTTGAGGGGGAGGGGTTTAAAAAGGAGAACCAAAAAAAAAAAAAATAGACCGGTTGGCCCGACCCGGTTTGGCCCGGAACCGGAACCGGAACCGGAACCGCCCACCGGCGGTTCGGGCCCGGGCCCTAGTTTTCTGGCCCGAGGCCCGGCCAGGCCCAGGCCCGAACCGGGCCCGAACCGGCCCGAGTCCACCCATGGTCACACCCACTTTGACTTCTGCTATTTTTTGCTTCATATGTACCTAACATTCTGGTTTCATTTCATAGTTGAATTCTTTCATACCAATAAAAGTATGATATATTAACACAGTATATAGTATTACATTGTACTAGTACTATATATAATTATATACTATTATATATCCCAGTATTATATTATGGAACCAAAATGTTTATAAAGCATCTTAAAGCATCTTAAAACAATTTCAAATCAATATGTTTGTTCACTATCCACTTACAGTATCATGTTTACATGTACTATTATATATATATATATATATATATATATATATTTATATATTTATATATCCCAACATTACATTACATTACATTACATTACATTACATTACATTACATATATAGTATCCTACAATGCTTACTGACTCACACTTTGATATTTTCAGGGGTTGATGCCTGCTTTATATGAGACCTTACCTGATGTTGAACTCAGAAGATGTGCCAGGCACATTTATGCAATTTGGAGAAGAAGTCATGGTGGTTTGGAGTTACAAAGGCAATTCTAGAAGTGCTACAAATCTGCCTCAAAAAGGGAATTTGAACTCAATCTAGAGGTACTTAAAACTCTTTCTCCAAGTGCTCATGATGATATGGTGAAGATAGATCCCAAGTTCTGGTGTAGAGCCTTTTTCAATAGGAGTATCAAGTGTGAAACAGTGGATAACAATCTGTGTGAGGCTTTTAATGGTGTTATAGTACCTGCTAGATCTCTGTTTGGTTTTTCTCAATTGGAATATATAAGAAAATTGGTGATGCAGAGGCTATTAAAGAATAGGAACCTGGGTGAGAAGTGGGTAGGTGACTTAGGTCCCAGGATTAGGAGGAGGATAAACAAAAATGTATTTGCCAGTAATAATTGGAGGGTTCTTTTCAATGGTTCTGATGGGTATGAGATCTCATGTGGATCAGAGACTTATTTGGTAGATTTGGAAAGTAATAGTTGTTTATGTGAGCAGTGGGATGTTTCCGGGATTCCATGCAAACATACCATTTGTGCCATAAGAGATAAGGGACATAGAATTGAGGATTATGTATCTCTTTGGTATAAAAAGGGAATGTATTGCCATACATATTCTGAAATGATGACCCCTATTGTTGGACCATTATTTTGGCCTAAAACTAATGTTAAAGTCCTACCAGCTGAGTTGAAGAAAAAAGAATTAGGTAGGCCTAGGAAGAATAGAATTAGGGAGATTGGTGAGATTCCTATGACTGGCAAGTTAACCAAGAAAGGAATTAGCATTGCATGTCAACTATGTTTCAGAAAAGGGCATAACAAGAAAGGTTGTCCTGAAAAAGAGCAAATTTTGAAAGGGACAACAACATTCCCTTCTGATTTAGGAGATGGTACTTCTCAACAACCACAAACAGTATATGAAGAAACAAGTCTAAATGGAGATCATGTAATTCTTTTCATGAAGAATTATGTATTGTGGGTATTACTTTTATGAAGGTCTCAATATCTTCATCTAAATTACTAACTGTATATTTTTTTAAAGGAAAATAACTCTACCTTTGCTCCTCCAAATGAGAAGAATGTGGAACCTAGTACATTGCAGAATTACTTCAGTGAAAACACAGATATGGAAGACAGAAATAGGGACAATGTGTTTCAGTTTAGGGGAAAAAATGCTACCAGTGCTGGTGGTTTGGAGGTATACTTTGCATTGATGTTGTTCCTAATTTTCAATTTCTCCATACAATATGATAAAGTAATATTTACTTTTGTCCCTATAAACTTATAACCTGTTTTTCTTTATACAGAGGTTGAGGCAGGGGAAGAGCAAGGAGATAAGGGAAAAGGTCAGTCAAGGAAGAAAAAGGCTCTCTGAAGAAATGGAAATCACTGGGGTGTCACGTACTGCAAGGGACAGATTTCATACCTTGTTTGACTCAATGGAAGAAGAATGTGAAGATTAGTGTTGATCTGCCACTTGTGGAAAACCTTAGCGAGATGTTTTGCTTGTATTTTGTTAACTAAACTTCCTTTTTGAACATATGTACTCCCTAACAATGATGTTTGCTTGTAATTAGTCTGTGGGAGATGATGATTAGGTGGCTTGTTCAATTTATCTAGAATAACATTATGAGGGTTGTGTACCCTAACTGTATTGTGGGAGTACAAATCTGCCGACAGGCTAGCTTGTACTCTCATAATTCATGAACGGATTGGTTAAAAATCCTTGTTTTGATTAGGATGGTTGCCATTTCTTTTAATGTAAATGTAATGACATTACCGTGCTTTTTTTGGACTGCAAAGCTTCTAATTTGTGCATTCTTTCCTTGTTAATATTTGTGCCATATACGGTTTCTTGTTAGCAGCCTGTTTTGCTAGCTTCTAATGTTGATATGTGTTCCTATTACACGTAATGTCAGGCTATTTAGCTTCAAAATTTAGCAGGTTTCTTGTTAGTATGTTTTGGTAGCTTTTAATGTAAATGTATTGACATTACCAGGCTATTTTGGTAGCTTCTAATGTGTTCCTTGTTAATAATCAGCCCATATATGGTATCAACTAGCAAGGTTATTTTGGTACAATGTATGGATTATATAGGTTCACATAATATCAGAGATCATATATGGTTATTACACCACACCTCATCAAATTAACAGCAATAACAGAGTTCACAAATAGGGGTATAATAGTCTCTTAATCACTTCTTAGTCTTATTTTTGGAAATTGAAGGAGAATGCCACTTTTTTGTCCATAGCTCTTTTTTAGTATTATTTTAGACAAAACCCCTTATTATAAATACGGAGCATATGATTTTAACAGAAATAAACTATTCAATCCATGACAGGGCCTCACGCCAACAAACAGTAACAACACTCTAATTCAAAATGGTTAGATTCATTGATAAAACTCAATTACCCAATAATCCAATTCAGTGTGTTGGTGCTTTAGGCGTGAAGGCGGTTTACCCTAATTCCATACGGACCAAAGCATATATTTTGTACAGAGCACTAACTTAACGCCTTAACAGGCTACCGGTCCGAACCTATTTTTTCCGGGTTTGAGCCAGACCGCACCGGAAACCCGGAATCGTAAAATATTAAGAACCGAAACCCGGACCTGTTTATACCGGTCCATTCCGGACCGCTCCATTCCGGTTCGGTTCAGGTCCAAATTACGGTCTGATCCGGTTAATGCACACCCCTACGCTATAAGTATAACCTCTTCCGGGCCGGGTCAGAGTAAGTTTTTCCCAATCCTACCCTACATTTGAGGCTTCAGCTCTCGATGCTTCCATTTTGCCTTAGCCTAAGCATTGCTTTTGAAAGGCAATTTATTTGTAACGGCAATTTCTCTGCTTTAATCGCTACACCCCTCCCATAATATTCCCAAATATCCCAGTTTTAAGCATGTCTGTTCAGCTATGTTACGATCCTTCGAAGGCTGGAATAGAAGTAGACAAGTGTGCTCTAATTCCTCCGGAATCTGGTCTTCACCTTGTGTGTCTCTGCGAAGAGTGTGTTCCAAAACTAAGAGAGCTCGCTGCTTTTGAGAAAGAGATAAAATCCAAGCGGCGGCTTGTCAATGTATGTACTAGTTCTTCAATATAGGAAGATAATAGAGAGGCGAAAACGCGTAAATAATACTTCGTACTACGTATATAGGGTTAATCCATCAATAATTCTTCTTCGTTGGTTTGTATGATTTGATGTGCAAGCAGGAATATCTTTACCAAATCAATCGGTCACAAGATCGGTGTGTGTTTCTTTCTACAGCCGTTGAGCGCACGAAAAAGATGCTGGATTTACTTCTCAATAACCTCTCAACAGCATCTAAGGTTCTTATGTTTACCCTTATGCACTAATATGAGTTTTGAGTACTTATTTTAATGAAATATCAATCCCATAATCAGAGTTATGCCAGTGGTAGTACTATTTTTACCGTTTAATATGGGAAAAATTATTCAAAAAACATAACTTTGGCTGATGTGGCTGAGCCAAATTTACTACGTAATTGATATCAGCACCATGAACCGAGATTATTTATTTCAGAAATACAAGCTTAGTAATTAGTATGCTGAATGCACCCTCCTGGATGTTTGTAGTATTTAAATCACGAACTTAACATCATAAACTCTGTTTGTGCCTGAAAGAATCTGTATCCATGATGATAGGAAGACCTTTAATACATAGTTCATGATATTTTTCTTACACATTCTTGTGTGGGATATTCAGCTCTCACATCTCCAAAGTTCACATACTTTGAATTACTTTTTCCCTATTTCTAATACTCCGTATAATCTTAATCATTTTTTTACTGTTGTTCTTATGATTTATTATTTGTTTCAGAAGTCGGGAATCTCATTTACGCTTCAACGAAGTGCTTCTGTAGTCAAACTTGAACAAACTGATTTGGTAATAGCTAGATTGCTAGTACAGCATGGCCTCATGAATGACTTTGAGAATGAAAATGCAATTGAGATTTGTGATGATGATGATCACGATGATGATGACGATGAAGGGGAGAATGAGGATGAGGAAGAGGAGGAAACTGATGAGATTCTTCCTATTGGGTCTAAGATCAGTTCTCTGGTAAGTTAAAAATTAGTCTGCCATCATAACCAACAATTCAAGCTTTATACACTAATAGTTTTGTTCCTTAGTTTCTCGGAAATTTGTCTTCGGTTAATTTTATTGCCCAGACGTGGGCTCTTTGCTTGGGCAGCTATATTTGTACGGGGAAACCAAGGTTAAAGATGTTGCTTATAGCCTACTTGAAAAGATTGATAGTCTAGAAAAAGAACTTTGGGAGGCTCAGAAATCTGCTGTAGCAGAGAATAAACCAATGGATCCCTTGATTCCCATGAAGTGCATTGAAGAACAAATTAGGGTAACATTATCTCTACATATAGTTTTGCACCTTCCTGCAAAGTTTGTTTCTTTAGTTGGGCTAATTAATATGCATGGCATCTGCAACGTTTCAGCTTATAAAGAAGCTGCCGGTTGAGGAATTGTACGATGAAGTTAAAGAGCTGGTTTCTCAACTTACCCACAGGAATGAGAATGTGGGAATTGCTCTCGCAGCATCGGATGTCGTATTCAATACTTGTCATGCTATGATTCAAATAAGGAACGATTTCTTGCGAAAGTACAATAAGTGTGATGTATGCATATAAAATATAACTCATTAATCTTTGAAATCAAGTCTCGGGTATACAAAAAATGTATGGTTTGATTCCATTTCATTAGTTCCTTTTCTTGTGGATTCTTCGTAGATTTCCTCCTTGACAAACGGAAATGGAAATAAACACGGTTTGAATGGATTTGGAGAAACCCTTGATTCTCTACTGATCCAGGTTTGTTTGATAAAAATCTCCTCATTTATTTTAAGACTTGAATCTATTATGTATGTATGTATGTACTTCGTATATGTTCTTTTCATTCTTAATATTTATCTCCAATGAATTAGGTTAAATTGTTTAAAGATCGTTGGGAGACAGACTATGCCCCTTTCTTTACTCCATATGATCGGTTAGAGCCTAAAAGGCAACGGACTGATTGAATGTTGTGGATAGTTTTGCCTCCGATTTCCTGATGTCGAAGTTGAATATCTGATGTTTCTTCTGGTGGGTATTGTATTTTTTTGAACAAGCCACCACCATGGCTGGCTGACCTCAAGTTTGCCTTGGGAACCCTTCAAAGTTCAATGCCTGGAATTCTCTTGATGCCTGGGGTTACATATCATACTGCTAACTCATAAAGTTATTATATCTATCTATTATTAAAACTATAATTATTATTATTATTGTTATTATTATTATTATTATTATTATTATTATTATTATTGGTTTCATGTTTCTGGTGTGGTTCCTAAAATGCTATTTTAGTCGTGGTTATTGATATTTGTTATATATGGAGGCTTGGAGCTCTACTTAATCATCTCCTTGATTGATGTGTTGGACTTGGGGTACACTCTTTTGGGGTACAAATTCTTACACACTGTTTGTGTAGGCGTTTTTTTGTTTGTACAGACAAAACGTATTTGTCAAAAATACGTATTTACACACTGTCAAAAAATGCCTACACATACCGTGTGTAAGAATGTGTACCCCAAAAGTGTGTACCTTTAGAATTTTTCTTGATTGATTCCCTTCTGGCTAAGCGTAGGGCTAATCCCATTCCTTTCTCCAATGCTCTTTAAAATTGAAGATCTTTAAATTTTCCGAATCATCTCTCCTGCGCAGTTGGTCAGAATTTAAAAGTATTCCCTCAATCCTAAAGTGGGTTATCCTTGTATCCTTGATGATAGACATTTCATTTTTTTTGTTAAAAGATGAATCACTTAATAATTTAATATTAATAAAGATAACAAGATACAAAGGGAGTGTTTGCGATTGCTTCGACTTTAAAAAAGTGATTTTTTAAAGTGATTTTGGGAAAAGTGATTAATAGTAAAAGTAGATAGTGTTTGAGAAAAAAGTGATTCTGAAAAAGTAAAAGTTGGTAGTGTTTGGTAAAATAAGTACTTTTTGTGTAATAGAAAAAGTGAGAAGCAGTTTAAAACACCCTTCTACCTGCTTCCAGCTTTTAGCTTTTAAGTGATTAATTTAAGCAGAACTATCATTTGAAAACACTCTTTTCAACTTTTTTTAAGCCAAAAGCTGAAAAGCGCTTTTTTTAATCAATCCCAAACACTCCTAAAGTCATGTTACTTTGGGGTGAGACACAGAGCTAGAAAATCGGTTATTAGTGATCACCAGTTCACCACTGGCTAACCATAATAAGGTAGACTCCATCAATTGTAAAAGGAGATTTGAAAATAATTAAAATGTTATGTGATGAAGAAATGTACTAAGAAAATAAGGCCCTGTTTTTCAAAAAATAGGGCCTTATTTGGCCCTTGTCAAAGGATCTGAGTAGGGTTGGCATTTTGAACTTCAAAAATGAGAACTGAATTGAAAAGGGGCTGGCATTTCGAACTTCAAAAATGAGAACTGAATTGAAAAAATGCCAATTTGAGCATTACAAAAAAAGAAACCGAAACCGGACCAACTTGAACGAGATGCATAAGTCGAGACTCAAAAATTAATCGGTTTATTAATTGTTTTTGGAGGAAATTAATTGAATCAAATCAAATTGAATTGATCTTTATTGAGTAACTTTGCTAGTTTTCTCAAGGGAGAAAGACCAAAATTGACACTAAGGTTGTTTGCTAAATTCATATTGTACACTAAGCTTTTAAGTAGACCAAATAAACACACATTCCAATTTTTGACAACACATTTGGACACTGGCCAGCTATCACTAACTTGGGTTTAACGTGCTCCAATATTGACGAACATTTGTGAATATGCTCACTAGGTTTCTAAGTAACTGCATTTCTTCTTTGGCAATTTAATTATTAGCTCCAAAAAAACAAAAATTATCCTTGACTAAGATTAATATATACTCCGTGTATTGTTTTGTTGCACTTTAAGTACGAGAACGCAAAAATGCGCAGTTATCTTCAAGAATTAATTTGAATGTGTTCCCGATTGAATTTTTAGCTGAAATTTGGTATGAGTAAACTAGACTTGGTGAATAAGATGCTCAAAAACATTCATCAAAAAATTCCACCGGGAACTGCCCGAAATCGCGACGGCCTGACAAAACCTCCTATAGAAAGACTTAATTGACCTTTTTATGAAAGTTCGAGGACCTATTATTGTTGCTATTGGATTGTATCATAGACTAGTCAATACTCCCTCCGTCCCGCTATTAACTTTCTACTTTGACCTACACAAATATTTAGGAAATAAATTTGACTTTACTGTAGAGTACACTGTTTCGATACTGTTTGGCATTGTTTGGCACTGTTTTGCACTGTTTGACATTGTTTTGATGTAGGGTACCTTTCCATTTAGGGGAATGAGAAGATTATTTTGGGACGGCCCAAAAAGGAAAGCAGAAAGTTAATAGCGGAACGGAGGGAGTATATGTTTAAAACTCCTAGTGTGTAGCTTGTTCCACTGTATTAGCTAGGTAGTTAGCTCTAGCTTATCTCATATACGTGTATAAATGCCTCAGTGTACACCACAATTACTCAATACAATTCTAACACTTGTATCAAGAGTCATTCTCTAAAGAGCTTATAGTTTCAATTTTTTTTCCTGCCTATCATGATGGTTATCACCACCGCCGCTACCCATTTTCCAATTAAACTCACTACTCCCAACTACCCAATTTGGAAAAGCCAAGTTCACTCCGCCCTTATCGGATTGGGACTTGAAGACTATGTTGATGGAATGATGGTGATCTCGTCACAAATATCTAGATTCAGCCAAAACCCAGATCAACCCATGCTACACCATCTGATATCGCCAAGACAAGACTATTCTTAGTGCACTTCTTGGCAGTTGCGCTGACACCATTGAGCTTCTCATCTCATCGGCTTCTACGGCACGTCATGCTTGGGACAAGTTGTCACTCACGTACGCTAGCTCCTCTCGTGGCAGAATTATTTCCCTCAAATCTACCCTGGCAAAAACCACCAAGGGATCTCGATCCATTCCGGATTATATCACTGAAATGCAGGCTATTGCTGAAGCGCATTTCGGAGGAGGACCTTGTGATTAACATCTTGAATGGATTGGGATCGGACTATAGTGACATAAAATCAGCTATTCGTGTTCGGGAAACCGCATTACCTCTTAGTGTCACGCCCCAGACCGCAATCCAAGCGCGTGCACAACCGCCGTATAATTGAGTGACGTCACCCGCGAGTCAACCTCACTTAATTACACAAGGCGTTCGAGAAAATAATCCATCCATACTCAGTAGTAAACATACATAACGACATCACATTTAAACCAATGAATAGCGGAAATATTCAACGGTAAGTCATAAGCCACAACCGGCCAACAACATGGGCATGCAAGCCCCAAAAATAGTTTATAGTAGAACAAATATCCATGAGCAAGTGTTCGGTAGTTTGAAAGAAAATAAGGAAGCACGAACCACGTCTTCCTGATGTGATGTCACCCGTGAGAAGGTGCAAGTAGCGAGCTCTAGCTTCAACCTGAAAATGGTGGGCCCCCCCGAAGGGGTCAGTACAAGTACCGAGCGAGTAGCAGGCTAAATATAGAATAACTAGCGTTTCAAGTATAAGACCCAAACATAGGGTGATACTTATATAAATAGTCCTTTCGCCCAAGTTATGAAATACTCATTAGTATAAATATACTTGGAAAATACTCGATCCGTAGATCACCGTTTTATTTGGGAAAATAGTAATAGTCAATATCATTGACTAAAAACCCCCAACCCACCCATATACCTATGAGTGTATAGGACTCCTCCTTGTCCCTATTTCAATATCATAATCTATGAGTGTTAAGTACTTTTAAGTACTAGGGTCCTCCACCAAATTTTGAGTGTTAAGTACTTTTAAGTACTAGGGTCCTCCACCAAATTTTTATCCGAGTGTTAAGGACTTTAAGCCCCAGGGTCCTCCACCAATTTATAATCCGAGTGTTAAGGACTTTAAGCCCCAGGGTCCTCCACCAAGTTTTGAGTGTTAAGTACTTTTAAGTACTAGGGTCCTCCACCAAGTTTTGAGTGTTAAGTACTTTTGAGTACTAGGGTCCTCCACCAAAATATTTTCCTATGATCAACCTCCTATCAACCTAGATAGAGTCTATATCATACTTAGTTACTCATAACTAATTCAATACATAAAGCTTATGTATCACAATCCATGCAAAGCCATGCGATTCTTTAAATGTATAATTAACTAATATCAACCGATATTAATTAATCCATTATCCACCGGTCAACGGCGTCGTTGACCGCCATTTCAAGTCTTACACTTATCAACTTAATCATCATGTAATTAACTTGATAATATTCATTTGGTGCTTCTTATACATTTCAAACAAATATACATGTTATGTAATCCCTCATATCACATTCCATGCATAGATCATTTATTTCTTTCATACAAACTTAACCCTATTGGCTAATCACGTGTTTAAATATCTTTTAAACATCATTATGAACTCATATAACATTTATTTAGGTAATCTCATAATTAACCCAAAAGTTATAAGATATTAAGCCGTCCACTCACCTCGAACTAGCGTTATGAAGTTCTACCCTTCTTGGTTGAACTCCGGTGAAACTCCGGTGACTTTTGGTCAACTCCGGCGACAATTCCGGCGACTTCTCCAACCTTGTGAAATCACTTGAAATACCCTTTACAAGTGCCTAACAAGGTTTTAACATCATGAAACCTTAATCAATACAAATAACCTATAAAAGGTCATTTTCCGGTGAACCGGTCGTTTTGGCTTCTACGTCCATTCTTGGACGTAGAATCACTTTCCAACCCATTAATCCATGCTTATAACATGTAGAACCCTCTTAAGGATCCTTCACATGATATATATCTCATATGGTAGGAAAAAAGTAAAGGAAAAGTTATAATAAGGTCATTACCTTAATTCTACACCCTTTTCCTAGCCTTTTTCCTTCTTTAATCCCACTCCGTGGACTACTTTTGGTTGAGCTCGAGTTGCAGCAATGGAGAATAGCTTGAGAGCTTCCTCTTCCTCCTCCTTTGATGGTTTGGCCGAAAATATGGGGTGGGTGAGTGAGGAGATAGCCTCTTTGGCTTTTCTCTCAAAATAATGTGGGAATGGGTCCTCCCCATTGTACTTTTGATGCCAAATGCATCTCCTCCTCATTTCCTCTTGTCAACCCAGCTCTCAATTGATGTGTTTAGCACATAAAAACGTGGGGTGGCCCCCACTCATGTGGGAGGTCATCCCTTTGTGTCCCGATGTGTACAATCGGTCCCGAAAGTTGTATTTTTCGGACTGTTTTAAATATATTTTACTTTATCGGGTCAAATAAAATATATTATGTGCTCTTACTCATTATGACATGTATAATGAATATACATTCCCCAACTTTAATTCATAAGCCCCCGAAATTCGGTTCGGGCTGTTATCAGTTAAATTACCAGTACCGATAATTTGGGCTCCTTTTTACCAATCGGTCAACTCTGGGCCTTTCCATGGCCCAGATGAAATATCCACCACTATATATTTATTATCTAGACCAAGATGAATAAAATATATGGTCTCGGGGATGTCGGGCGGCCCCCGCTCCCGGTGTGGGCCCCACGTGCAATTATTATTCACGCGAAAGAAATAATAAAAATTTACAACTTCGTAAATTCATTAATCCTTTAATAAAGTTCAATACATTATTTACATAAAAGTAAATATATTTGGGGACGGTGTTACACTTAGGGAGCTGCAAGATATTTTATTGGAACATGAACAACAGGTCAATGAAGCAACTTTGACCGACGGCCCACTTACAATCCAGATCGTCGAGGCAGTTTCTCACGGCAGGGAAGAGGTGTTTTCTCTGTTCAACACTTTCATTGGGTATTTGGGTAGAATGGAACATATACTCTAGATGCACGAACGGTCAACACTAAACGCTACATATATCGGCACTTTCAAATTTGAATGTTTGAAACAAGAAGACGGGTTAAAAAACCATTAACCAAATATCATTATTAGGTGATTGATATGGTCAAACAGTCAAATAACAGTCAAATCAATCAAAAAAATGGGTGATATGTCACTAACCAAACGTCCCCTTTAGGAAACTTAGAATTTTAGGAAACTTGCAATTTAAATCCATTTATTAGTGAAAACCATTAGAATAATTATTAGATCATGCGAGTTTGTGATGTAACCATATTCCTTGAAAATGAAAATAACAAACAAACGTAACAAAGAATTACAGCGACACCGCAATTAAGGTGCACAAGAAAAATACATTAATTAATGTAACATGAGTCTGATGATGCAAAATATAATACCGAATGAAATACTGCCAAATTAAAAGAAAATAAATTAATAAACATGAAGAGAGTGCATGATGCAGGCCCATGCAATTTCCAGGTGATTCTTGAATTTAAATCTGAACAACCTCCATCGGACCATCCGGCTGCTTCAGATAAACTTTGATGATTATATATTGTCAACCTGACAACAAAATCAAACGAGAACTCAAATATAGTGGAAATTGACATGCATTATGTAGTGGAAATTAAATTTTAATATACGTAGTACCATTAATAATTAATATTCCGTAATATACAGAGACTATAACAAAATACCTTAAGAAAGCTTTTTGGACTTGAGTATGTGTAACAGTTGTTTCACATGTTCGGCGCACTCAACCGTCTCACCTTTACCATCGCCAAGAATGAGAGGTTTATCAAACTTGTCCGTCAGATTCTTCATTTCTAATGTTCTTTCGGACATGGTTTCCCAGTTCAGTTGACATTTTATATCAAACATATTTGGGTTTAGGGTAGGAAAAATACCATCTTCATCAGGTTGAAAAACCTGGGAGACCCGTTGTTGGAATTTTTTAATTCTAACACATTCGGGCACCATTTGGACAAAGACGAGAAAGGCTCGGGCTATTAAATAATCCCTCTTACGGTCAGTTCTATCTAAGCCACAGAGCTCACAAATATATGAATTGAATGTGGCCAAGCCTAAGGAAAAGTCCATCCTACTTTTCTCAGGTGCAAGTTTTGCATACCCTTCAAGATGGCCGTAAGAGGCTGTGAAAGCAAGGGGATGAAAATCAAAAGACTTGTACTCTTCAGATGAAAATATTTTTTTCATAAGACTCAAGCTAACATCCTTGAAATACCATACACAGTTATTTGAAGCAAATGCAATCAAATATATATCACTTTTCTTAACAACTACTTTGATAGAAAAGTTTCCCCATACTAATTAACTTAAGAAAAAAATAATTGTTCAAGTCATACTCTGCATCCTGACGGGTTATGGGAATTTCTAAGTGGGTTTCAGAGGTCAAGAGGGTTAAGCACGTTTCTATGAAGTTTTCATAGTAGGATGCATCGAGAAAATCGGAGTTAAACACTATTTCTTCAAATTCATGAAGAGGGTGAGAAGAAGCAGACGAAGATGAAGAAGGATGGTTGGGGCGAGACTTTGAAGGCTTGGACTTTGACTTAGAAGAAGAAGAAGAAGACATGAACGTAATCTTATTAGCTGTGAGAAGAAAAAAGGGAGTAGCTGGGAACTACAAGGTAGAAATGCAAAATCTGTTTTGTAAATGAAACAAGCTAAGTAAACAAACAAAAACTAGCAAGCAAGCAGTATAATGGATGCATACCTGCAGCTGGCTGCTCGCTTTGATGACTTCGATCCGAAAGTGGTATGGTCGAAGCTCTGAAAACTGGAATTGATTTTCCTGAGCTGATCCTTTGTTTTACACTAGAATGGCAAAGAAAAAGCTTCAGCAGGAGATGCTTTAATTAAGCTATATATGTAGCGTGTAAACATGAGTAAGAAGTAGTCCTGGTTACCCATAATCCGTACCTAGCTAGCTGCAGGTCTAATTACGCTATTCATTAACCCTACACGTAGCTTGTGTATAGACCGATAATTATAGATCTCAGGGAAAACTCCAATGGAAGGGTCTATTGTATTTCCAAGTCATCAAATACACTTTCATAAAAAAAACTACTACGTAAATGAATAGTCTCGGTCCAACCCTCTGAAATTGTGTTTGTGGACCTTTAAACATTCCTGGTCACTTACTACCTCCGTCCCAAAAAGAATTGCAAATTTGATTTTTTTTAGTCAAACAGTCTCGTTTTGTTCACTTAATTGGGATGTCAATTTTTAATTATATTCTAATTTGGAGTTTACAACATTGAAAAGATTTTAATGTAGTTTTTGAATATGTAAAATTTAATTATTAAAAATTGAATTAATTATCCATACGGAGAGTTGACTTTTATTATTGGTTGACCAAAAATTGTTGACTTTGCAAAACAAATTGGGACGGAGGGAGTATTTAAATGATGAAATGTAGCCTTTTCCTAAAATTGTGGTTTTAGTTGGACTTTAATTTTCTGATTTGGTCTAATCTTTGATGGGCTAATCTAGTTTGAACTGTTCTGATGTGGTCTTTGTGACCCTAGTTTTAATGATAATTATCCTCCAAGTTTGGTCTTGTCTAGTTTGATTGGTTTGGTCTGTCTAGTCTGGTTTGATTTGGTCTGGTCTGTTTGACTGAACTGATTTGGTCTCATCTGGTCTGATTTGAAACTGAAAATAATTCAAGTAAAAACCTATGTTTAAAAAACCGACCCGACCCGGCCGGGTTGACCCGGAACCCGGTGACCCGGACAAAAAACCGGTTCGGTTTTTTCAAAACCCGGAAATGGTCAAAAACCGGAAAAACTCGGCTGACCCGGGGAAACCCGGTCAAGACCCGGATCCAAGAAACCCGAAAAACCTGGTAAAACCCCGTTTTTGGGTGTTTTTACCAAAAAAAGTAATTTCTTTTTTATTTGTAATGAATTTTTTATACCAATAAAATTGCAATTTCAATACCTTAAAAAGAAAAACTACGTAATATATTTATATATTTATTTAAGAATGAACATCATGCCAAATTACAATATAGATGTACAATAAAAATAAAAATATCATTATATATTTTTATAAGATCAAAATATACATTGAAATATTATAAGAGTGTATTAAATGCTTAATAAGTAGTATTGTTAGTTGATTATTATGAATAATAAATAATTTTTATTATAGTTTTATATATAATTATATGTTTACTATTATTATATAGACGTATAGTCATTGACCGGTTTTCTGGCGTTGACCGGGTTGACCCACCGGGTCCGGGTTGACCCGTGACCCTGTCATGTGGCCGGGTCACTCTCCGGTTCGGTTTTTACAACATAGGTAAAAACATATTGAGTTCTACGGGTTTTTAAAATATTTGCTTTTAATGACACCTATTGGGTGTGCCTGGCTTTTAAGGCCTTTGAACACTGCAACGGATTGTTTTGAAATTGTATTATCTGGTTTATTTGTTGGTAAAGTCAATATCTTTGCCCCAATTCCGACATCCCTCCCCCACCAAGATCGTAGTATTAAGCATGGCTATTCAGCTATGTTACGATCCGTCAAAGACTGAAAGAGAAGTACACAATTGTGTTCTATTTCCTCCGGAATCTGGTTTCCACCTTGCGTGTTCATGCCAAGAGTGTGTTCCAAAACTAAGAGAGCTAGCTGATTTCGAGGAAAAGCTTAAATCCAAGTGGCGGCTTGTCAATGTATGTACTGCTTATTATATCTATATCGGAAGAAAATGTAGAGGCAAAAACGCAGACTTGTTATACAGGTTAATCGATCGCTTATCCTGCTTTGTTTGTTTGTATGATTTGATCTGCAAGCAGGAATATCTATACCAAATCAATTGGTCACACGAGCGGTGCGTGTTTCTTTCTACCACTGTTGAGCGCACAAAAAAATTACTGGATTTACTCCGTGATAACCTCTCAAGAGTATCTCAGGTTCTTATATTCAAGATTATACTTATATTTTGAATGCTTATTTTCATAAAATATCAATTCCATAATAAGAGTTATGTTAAGAAGTACTATTGTTACCGTTAATAAAAGAAAAATAATTTGAATACCCTAATTTTAGCTAGGTGTCAGCTTAATACCCCGGATTTACATTTTAAGTGAATACTAGGCATATTGTTTACATTACCAGTAATATCAGCACAATGACCTGAAAATATTTATTTCAGAAATAGAAGCTTAGTATTTAGAATGCTAGAAACCCTTCAGAACTTCGTAGTATTTAAATCAAGAACTTCACATCATAAACTTATGTTTGTGCCAGAATTCCCAGAAATAACCTATATCCATGATGCTAAGATAACTATTAATAGTTCATGATATTTGTGTCTCACATTCAAGTTTGGGGTATTCAGCTCACACATTTCCAAAGTTTGCAGTATTTGAATTACTTTTCCCGTTAAAAATATTATAGTCATTGTTATTATTGCTGTTGTTATATATATTATTTGTTTCAGAAGTCTGGAATTTCATTTACGCTTACAAGAAGTGCTTCTGTTGCCAAACTTGAAGAAACAGATTTGAAAATAGCTAGACTGCTAGTACAGCATGGCCTGATTGATGACTTTGAGAATGAAAATGCGATTGAGATATGTGATGATGTTGGTGGTGGTGGTCATGATGATGATGTTGATGAAGAGGATGGGAATGGGGATGAGGAAGAGGAAGAGGATAAAACTGATGAGATTCTCCCCATTGGACCTAAGGTCAATTCTCTGGTAAGATAAAAAAAAACTAGTCTGCCATCATAGCCAATAATTCAAGCAGTATACAGAAATACTTTTGTTCCTAAGTTTCTCGGAAATCTGCCTTTTGTTAATGTTAATATTCCGGACATGAGCTCTTTGTTTGGGCAGCTATACTTTTATGGGGAAACCAAGGTTAAAGGTGCTGCGCATAGCCTACTAGAGGATATTAATAATCTAGAAAAAGAACTCTGGAATGCTAAGAAATCCGCTGAAGCAGAGAATAAACCAATGGATCCCTTGATTTCCACGAAGTACTTTGAAGGGCAAATTAGGGTAACATTCTATCTATATAGAGTTATATCTACATTATCTCTAGTTGGGCCAACTAATATGCATGGTGTCTGCAACATTTCAGCTTCTAAAGATGTTGCCGGTTGAGGAACTGTATGATGAAGTTAATGAGCTGCTTCCTCAACTTACCCACAGGCATGAGAAAGTGGAAAGAGCTCTCACAGCATTGGATGACATGTCCACTACTATTCGTGCTATGATACAAATTAGGAACGAGTTCTTGCAGAAACACAATAAATGTGTGGTAATGTATGTATATCATTAATTAATCAGTAAATAAAGTCTCATTTAGGCCAAAAACAAAATGTATGGTGAGATTCAATTTCATTAGTCCTTACTCTTGTGGTTTTCATGTAGATTTCGTCCTTGACAAACGGAAATGGAAATAAACACAATCTGATGGGATTTGGAGAAACCCTTGATTCACTACTCACCAAGGTTTGTTTGATAAAAATCTCCTTATTTATTTTAAGACTTTAAACAAATATGTATGTACATGCATTTATTTTTCATTTTTAAATGATAATCTCCAATGAATTAGGCAAAATTGTTCAAGGATCGTTGGGAGACAGACTATGCCCCTTTCTTTAGTGCATATGATCGGTTGGACCCTAAAAGGCAACGGGCTGAATAAATGCTGTGGATGGTTTTGCCTCCGATTAGTTGTCGAAGTTAAATATCTGACGTTTCTTCTGGGTGGGGGTATTGTATTTTTTTAACAAACCACCACGCTGGCTGGGCTGATCTTAAGTTTGCCTTGGGATCATTCAGTCTTATGCCTGATAAATGCCTTGGGTTACATATTGTACTTCTAAACTTGTATTATTATGAAATTCAAGTTTGTGAGATGCTTTTTAAAATGCTAAAAGCTGTAAGAAGCATTGACTTAATATAAGGTTTCTAGTCGTGGTAATCAATGTGCAGTATGTTTGGAGGTACTTATAATACTCCATGTCTCTTTTATGGTATCCCTTTTAGCTCAGTTTAGGCTATAATAACCCTCCTGCTTTCTCTCAAGGCTCTTTAGAACTGAAGATCTTTCAATTTTCTGAATCATCTCTCCTGCACAATTCGTCAGGAAGTTGATTGTGGTTTTGATTCTGTTTGCATTTTAACCTTCGTATTATTATACTGAAAGTTTATCAGCTCTTTGTTCAAAAGTATTTCGTCAATCTCAAAGCGTACCTATGTATTTAGTGTTTCTGACTTTCTGCCCTTGAGTTTTTAATGGTTAAGATTGGTACGAATTACTTTGCACAAATGCACATCAGACACAGTTTTCTTTCAGAAGTTTATAAAAAAGTCATTTGAATAACAGTTAATTGGGATTATGCATGGACCCGGTCTTGAGCTGGTTTTGGTCCCGGACCGGCAGGTCATTGAAAAAATATATGCACTGGGACCAAAAGCTTTATTTCCGTTTCCCATTCGGTCCCGAGCTCCCAGTCCCGGTCCTAGTTCTGGTCCCAATCGGGCTAGTCTTGGTTCCGGTCCCAATTGGTCCCGGTTTCGGTTCTGGACTTTTTTATTTTTTAATACACTTTTAAACCCTCTAGTGCCCTATGCACCCCCCATTTACACCTCTTTTAAGATTTTAAATGGATCTTGGTCCCTCATGAAATGTTTTCGAATGATATAAATTATATAATAGCAAAAGAACAAAAAGAATTGGAGGCCCGGGACCAGGAGCTCTTTCCCACCAGTCCGATTCTGGTCCCGGCCCCGAACTGGAACCTTATTTTCCGGTTCGGGTTCAAAACTGGGTGATCCCGATTCGATCCCAGTTCCGGGACATTATACCAACCTGTGTCTGTATATAATATACATTCAGTTTGGTTACACAACTGCTCTTGATCTGGATGGATCGGGGTATTTGGGATCCATATACTAATATTAGCTGTTTTGCAAATTCAACATGGATCTGACCAAATAATACCATTATTGCTCCAGACTTGCTAGTGTATGACATGATTATAAAATTTGGAAATACTCAAGATTACAG